ACCCTCAGCGAAAAAAAAAAATTGTTGTTGTTGATGAATAAGCGGAAATAATTGAAGAAAAAAAAACAATTAAACATTTCTCGCTGGTTGAGAAGTGGATTCATGTGTCTGTGTATTCGACGAATGTAAAATAATGAAAAAAAAAACGATTGCCGATAAATTATTGGCATGATAAACAAATGTTTAGTCTCTTCCGTTGGTGTTAAAAAATATTTGTTTGGGAATAAAGAAAATTGAGACTGTGGCGATTAAATTTTTATTTTCCCCTCAAAAGGAAAATCGGTCAGAAGATGACGCACGACGTGGCGTCGGGGTCTTGTGGCCCTCGTAATGGGTCCTGTGGCCCTCGTAATGGGTCCTAGAGCCCATAAAATTTAAAATTGCTCATTTTCCCTAATCCCTCGAGTGACTCACCCCAGAGGCACTCAAATAAAATTACTTCCCTTTCCCCCCTTTCCGGCCCCTTCCCCCATTACGTCCCAAAGACATGCCCCTAAGAGAGAAGGCCCTTTCTCATCTCAACAGTGACTCACCATTTTCCTATTTCCGGGGCTGCATAAATATTTTTTAAATCTATCGGTCATAAGATGTATAAAAATTGCGAAAGGGATTCCTGAAGAATAGCAATTAATAGTTTTTAGGATTTGAATGAAAAATTATAAGAAGTGGATTAAAATTTTTATTTGGGGGAGAATTGGAAGGGATGAGAAAAAGGTCAACGGGTTGATAAATTAATCAGAAGATGATGATGTCCTTGGAGGGACTTCCGAGGCCTCAAGATTATCGCGGAGACATCCATTGCGTACGTGAGATTTGGGAGAGTGCGATGAACGGAAAAAGCACGTGACCATCCCATTCTCTCGATATTTTACTCATTTTTATCGGGCTGTCTTCCCCTCTGGTTTGCACTCCGGGGATTGGACGAAAAGTTTGTGTCGGGGGTCAGAAGGTCGGAAAAAAAATCGAACGCACGTGGTGGCCGGACGGGCCGAATTATCGGACCCCGCAGTCTGCTTCTGGTGATTGGTGTGGTACCTTCTCTGGGGATTCGCCTCTCATTATTTTCCCGCTTTTCCGAGGAATTGGGAAATGACTGGACACGAGAATGCCGAATTTTCCGCGTTGCCCAGTGATGGGAGAAGGTAAGAATTTTTTTTTTAATTACCACTTTTTGCCAGTGAAAACATTTTTTACTCGCAATTTTTTTTTCGGGAAGAAATATACGTTCTAAATTAAACTACCTTTATTATAAACAAAATTGATATTTTTCATCACGATGTGCCGGAATGGAATTTTTCCGCACTTGTTCCGAAATATTCTATTTTGTAATTTTGCTTTTACCCAAGTCATGAGTTGTTTAAATTCTTCAATATTCAATTTTCATATAGATTTTTCCGAATTTTAATTAAAAAACAAATTTTCAATAATTATAATAAAAAAAAAATATTGCAAATATCCAAAAATTATGGATTTTCGAAGGTTCAAAAAAATCACGTTGAAAAAAATAAATGTACCTCCACTCCGTATACCGTTATCACAAGAGACTTTCGTTTTTTTAATTAATCCTGTTTTTCCCATGAGAATTTAATGAGAGAGTATTTAGTATTTACTCTGGCGTTTTAATGACAAAAGTTCGTGGCAACACGTAATACAGGGCATCATCAGGAGTATCAAAAGCTTATCCATCTCCCCTCGATGGTAAATACAGTGCTATACTTCTTCGAAACTCATAACTGTAATTCGCACTCATCAAATGAGCTTCAATTTTTTCTCATTAAAACTAAGAAGAGAAATGTAAGGAAAGAACACTCACGATTAAGATTAGCCCTGCTGGTCCCCTTGGGGTCAGGAGATATCCACGTCGAGGCCAATGGGTGGACTTTGTCTTTGTTTATAATTTTTTTTTCGCCAAGGGAAATTTTTTTCGCTATTTAGCTATTTCGAAATTTAGTGGTCCAAATTCCTGGAAGTTGATGAGGAAAGTTATCAACAATTTAATAACCAAAAATGACAAGTCCACTTCTTGCTTCCTCTCTAGTCAATTTTCCGTTGAATATCTTCAAATCTAAAAAAAGAGAGAAATTTTTTTTCAAACCTCTCTTGTGGAATTTAGCTGCAGAAAAGGTTTTTCAGGTCATTATCTGTTTTCCGAAAGGTGTCACAGTTTTTATACAAAATATTTTTTCATACGACGTAGGGCTCAGGCACGCGATCGGTTTGATCGCGTGAATCATTAGCGACTTCAACGATGACCCGAAGAGGATAACAAATTCCGTGTCCGAAGAGACGATAAAATCGGACGTGCATTTGCTCACACCAGAGGAACATCGAATTTTATATTTTTCTCGTTTTTCTCGCGGGAAATGAGAAGCTCGAGCGCGCGTGCCCCAATCAATATCGCGATCAGCTGGTGGGTCCGGCATACTTGCTACAAAGATAACACCAGTGCGAGTATCAGTATTTAAAAATCGAGAAATCAATTGAATAAATTAATTACGAGTTCACAGACCTGCGTCATTAGAGAATTATGACGAAGAAAAATCGCGGAAAATTTTTTTCCTTTATCTAGTGCCGCGAAGTCCTAAAAATGTGGAAAAAATTGTTGGGGGTGACCACGTGGGCCAAAAAAATATATAATTCCCGTCATCCGTTGATTAATCAATTGACAAAATGATTGGACATCCCTAGACATTGAAATGAAGTTGAAAAAATTAATAAACAAAAAATTTCGATTTAATAGACGAATGGATATGAAAATGTCGCGATGTGTTATAAATATTTTTCATGAATGTAAAAATGAAATTTTGGAAGAGCGAAAAATGGAAATGAAAGAGGAAATATGAGAATAAAATACTAGATAATATGGTATGTGCGGGAAAATCGGGAATAAAAATAACGACCCGTAAACGGAAGATGATGAACTCATCGAGTTTGAGTGCCACTGCCGAGACACAAAATGAGAAAAACCATCGGAGAAATCTGTCCAACCGATCGAGTGCTGCTCGGCTACTTCCGCCGAAATTCGCCACTCTGCACTCGTGGATGCCCAGTGCGCGTGCGTGAGTGCTACAAAAAACGGATCATGCACTCGCGTTAATGAGAAAGCAGAAATCGCGAAGATTAACATTTAAGAAATTTATCTTTGTCAATGATATATTTTTTTTTGGTTTTACTGACATTAAAAAAAATGGAGAATGATTATTATATTCACCAATGGGTTTTCAATTTTTCGGGCGACACTTTCTTTCGAAAATTCTCGTACCGATGATCTTGAGGACCCAGTGGTCGGGATATCACTGATGACTTTGATATCTTTTTCAGGCTAGCGTATATAGCGCGGTTCATGTATAGGGTGTTATCATTTGATATATAAAATCTAAAAAAAAGAAATTAAAAGAATTTCAGATGTCTAAAAAAATTATTCACAATGTATTTTTTTTTTTATTGAATTAAATTATTCAATTGATATCGCTGGCTAGTAGATCTCTCTCACCCGTTAATAAAAACGCGCGGGGGATTCAAAATCGGTAGTGAATAAAAATTTTTCTCTCGAGATTTTGGTCAACACGATTGATTTTTCCAATTTTTTGGAATGCATAATTATTTTTTTTCAGACCGAGAAGACGAAAATCGAGAAAACTCGTTGTTGCGAGTCTCGTGATGTTCGGTATCGCGGTGATAATAATCACTGCGATATTCTTGCATTTCGATAAAAAAGGAAGACCTCATCATTGGGATAGACTGATCCCTCCGGATAGTCACGACTACCTCCCGCCCTCCTGGAGCAAGTTAAGGGTTTTCAAGGGTGGAGCCGTGTGCTCCGATGGAGCGCCATGTGCAGAAATCGGAAAGTAAGAAATCCACGAAAATTTTAATCCCGCATTTGACCTCGACTTCAAAATGAAATGAACGAAAAATTCCAAAATTTCCAAAATTGATTGCTGCAACAATTAAAAAAATAAAAGATCGGTTGAAAAATCGGCAAAACTGAACCTTTCGATAACTTCGGCACTATTAATCCGAAATCGATTATGAAAAATCCATTTTTATCGTAAATTCCTCGTCTTCTCAACCCCCTGAATTGTTTTCCCTCCCTTCCCCCGCGTCCCAGTGAAACTAGAGATAAATTATTCATCTCACCTCAAGCTCAAAATATTCTGTGCCCCAGGGGGATCCTCTCGAAAAATGGCTCAGCAGTGGACGCGACGATCGCGACAATGATCTGCAATGGGCTGGTGAACATGCAGGCGATGGGATTGGGGGGCGGATTCATGATGACGATTTACGATCGAAAAACTCAAAAATCGTACTTCCTAGTCTCCCGGGACATGGCACCACTGGCAGCCACCGCCGACATGTACCAGGGCGAGGGTGTTAACGCCTCAAATATCGGTCCCTTGTCAATTTCTGTACCCGGTGAAATCGCCGGGTACCGAACAGCCCATGAAAAATTCGGACGTCTTCCCTGGGAGGAACTCTGGGCGCCGAACATCGAATTGTGCGAAAGAGGTTGGAACATGACGAACGCCTTCTACAGTGACGCCTTGGAAGCTATCGATCTCATCCGAACCGATCCCACCCTGAGCAAGATTTTCCTCGTGGAGGGGACCAACGAGTTGATGAGGCCCGGTGGATTGATTAAGCCCCAAAAAATCTGTGAGACCCTCAGAATCCTCCAGAAGAAGGGGGCCGGGGAATTCTATAATGGCACCCTGGGGAAGATGTACATCGACGATCTGCGCAGACGCGGCAGTATTCTCACGATGCAGGATCTTAACTCGTGCGTTCATTATTCTAAAACGAGTGAAATTTTCAGATATTACGATTTTTTAATTTTTTATTTATAATAATTCAGGTATCGGCCCGTATGGAAGACGACTTTGCAGACAAATTTATCAGACGGTACCCGTGTCTTCGCTCCGAATTTACCGAGCAGTGGAGCACTGCTGACATTCGTTCTGAATATTCTCGATGAATTTAAATTCACATCTTCGAGTCTCGAGGGATGGAACAACACAATTCGCACATATCACAGGATAATCGAGACGTGGAAATTCGCGTACTCGATGAGAAGTAAAATGGGCGACGATCTGTTCGTTGACATGAGAGAAGTAATTTTTTTCTCACTCCTATTTCCCCACTGACAAATCGCTAATTAATTCTCTGGAAAATTAAAGAATCCAGTGGATTAAAAATTCTGAGGATCATGACTTTATGATTTTTATGATTTTCATGGGTTTCACGTTCTCATGCGATTTTTTTTTGCAGTTCGTTAAAAATCTGACGTCGAAAGACTATGCGAGGTCCGTTAAGGCCCAAATAACCGACGAAAGAACGTGGAGTGATCCAGTGCACTACGGAGCTGGAAAAGAACTCCGTGAAGATCATGGAACAGCCCAAATATCAGTTTTAGCTCCCGATGGCGATGCCGTATCCGTAACCAGCAGTATTAACATGTAGTCAGTGTGACTTATTTTTTTTCTTCAGCTCCAAAGAAATACCTGTCCATTTAAATTAAATTTTCTCTTTCATCTCCCCCGAAATTTTTAGTTTTGGAAGTGGTATCGTCTCCGAACAAACTGGAATAGTATCCAACGCGGGAATGGACGATTTCTCAGTGCCAGGACGAGTCAACTATTACGGAGTTGCTGGGACTAATAAAAATAATTTAATTCAACCGATGAAGAGGCCGATGTCCTCGATGGTGCCATCGATCCTTGTGTCACCGAGTGGTGATGTCAGAATGGTCGTCGGAGGTGCTGGTGGAACGAAAATCACCACTTCCGTATCATTTGTGAGTGATAAAAAATTTATTGATAAAAAATTCACCTGGAATTTTTAACTCATAAAAATTAAAAAGGATGTCTAATGATAATCATTAAGTCAAGAGGAAGTGAGGAATTAATTTGAAAATATCGACGTTTCAGGTGATAGCTAGACATTTGTGGATGAATAATACGATAAAAGAGGCAATGGACGCCTCGAGAATTCATCACCAGGTGTTTCCTATGGTACTTGCGTATGAGTATGGAGTACCACAGCCTGTACTCGAGGGATTACGCAATTTGGGGCACCGAACCTCGAGATATGGGGATCGAGGCAGTTGTGTTTGTGGTTTAACTCAAATAAATGGAACCGTTTATGCCAATGCCGATCGACGCAAGGATGGCGATGTATATGGCACCAATGAGAAACGTCTCCTCAAGTTCTGATTTATCATCAAGTTCTGACTTATTCCTTTTTTTTTTGTAACTGTTGACGAATTCAGTAAAATGATGAGAATTTGCGAAATAATTTGTCTTTTTTTTGTATTCTTGGATGAAATTTCGGAGGGTTTTATAAAAAATGTTATATTTTTCTAGCTACTTTGTTAATGACGTGTACCGATCGATGATTTTTCTTTTATTCTTCGCAGTTAGCAACAAAGAAAATGCGTAATTCGAGTTATCGCACTTCCTTTCATTCCCCAGACATCAGTTATTCTTTCAAATATTTTTTTTTCGCGTTATCAAAGCGACTCGGGGGAGGGGTGTCGTTAATAATTATGCGAAGTCAGAAAATTTATGACGTCACGAACTTTGTGCAATAAATATTCAATGAAATGATTCTTTGAAATGTTTTCAACAAATCAGAAGAATCTGGAAGGATTTTTCATCGACATTGAACGATTTTTAACAACTTCAGTATTTTTTATGATTTTTTGCCGTGGAATCGCCAATGAAAATGAGATTAGAAAATTCTAGAAGTGCGATGTCTCAAGAGCGAATGGCGAGTCTCATCAAAGTAAACATTGACTCATTCTCACCTGTGTACTGAAATTCCTCCAGGACCCCCGCCCTCCGCGAATTCCCACCCCTCATAAAATCCGAGGTCAATTACCAAAACATAAACAAAACCTGCAACGGTTGCACATTCCAGAACATCCCGGACGCTTGCGTGATTCCAAAGAGGATTGACTGATTTGAGTGACCCCAGCTGCATCGTAGTACTGCACCCGAAGAGCGGGAGGGCGCTACACGCAATGCTGGGGTGTTTTTTTTTTAAACAAGTTTTTATTGCAATGCTGGGGTGTCCATTGAGTCGGCGGGGTGAAGTTTATTGTCTGCGGTATGAATGCTCTTTGTTTTTTAATTGTTTAACTGTAATTTAGCCGACTAGTACGAGCGGAAGGGGAAAGCCACATCTTGTGGAATTTT